ATTTTTCCATGTCATGTGGCTTTTGTTGTGTACTGTAGGTATAACAAAGGGGGAAGAAAAAAAAATGCACATATCTTTGTTGAGAAGTTAATATGAAACATGAAGATCAAAATGTGGCAGAGAAATTAGTGTCAACCAGGCCCTATGTAAATGCACACGAGCTAGGTAAAAGAACAGGAAACTTTAAAGTGCATGTTGCTACACTGACTGACGTCACAACTGCAAAAACACTGAAACAAAAAGGGATCCTAAACAGAAATAGTATCCCATCTATTGCCAGAAGAATCTGTTGACCTTCACAGTAACATAAACCTTGATGACATTCTATTCTTCATGTAAGATGAGATAAGAAACACCTTTTATTGTCCCACAGTGGAGACAATCTGGGTGTGACAGTGGAAAAACAAGCAGAGACCATTAAAAGAGTAAATACTCAAAAGAAAAAAACATTTAAACTGAATGATAGAAGAAAAAGAGGAGGAAATACTTTGTTATTAAGAAGAAGGGAATATTCAAGAAAAAAAAAACTTTAAATAATTAAGAATCGGAAAAAAGAGGCAGAAAAAAGGCTGTAAACTGAAAATTAAAACCACAACAACAATAAAGAACTGTGCAATAAGCATTGCAGAACATTATAAACACTTTGTAAGCAGAACTATAGGATACATTTTCAAGAGGTGTTCAGTTACGTTGAAGTGGAGGCTCTGCAGGTGAACAAGGTTTCTCCAAACTTTCCTACACATCTAAAACTCACTGATTTGGTTCTGGCAAGGTACCGATATCAGCATCATAAATTGATTGAGCTACAGAAGCTAGCGGTAAGGCAATGCCTAAAATATGTATATATTCTCAATGGTTTATGCAAAACCAAAAGACTGTTCTGGGGCTGTTCATATTTGTCAGTCTCATTAGCTAATAACCCTGCAGCTCTGGGGTGGGATGCTGAGAAGTTACGTAACTGAACAGAGACTACTTTGCAGAAACACCACAATTTATGATTGTGATAAGTCATCTATACTGATACGTTTACGCCTAAAAAACAAATATGCAAACCTTGCCAAACCAACTATAGAATAACCATTTTATGGAGCCCCTATAGTCTCAATATTCACCAATACTGGTACATGATATGTACATCATGCACAGGACCAGATGCACACATGCAAAGATGCACATACAATACAATGAGTGAATAAACACAAGTTGAAGATCGTGAGGGAGTTAGGTGCCAAAGATGACACAAAATAAACAGTGCAATGAAAAGAATGCTCAGAAAAATAATAATTATTCACAATAAAGGATTTGATTTATACAGTCAAGATAAAGTATTACAATTTCAAGATGTTTTTTTCTACACCACGGTTTGCAAAAGGTAAAAGCTCCTAAATTAGTTTTGCACAACCGGCTTTTCAAGCATTTAAAACTTGCTGCATCACTGTTGAAATAACCTGCTTAAAGCACTTCAGCAATGTTGAAGTGGTACCAACAGGTGAATAATTAACTAAGTATGCAACTATGAAAAGACAGTCAGTCAAAAAGCTTTGGCTCTGCAGTCATATTACAAACCAACATACATGAGTAATTGTAAATACTGACTTTTTCAATAAGAAATTAACCAAAAATAAAACCAACATTCATCAAATAAGTGTGCTGAGTGGGTTTAAAGTTATATTTAATGACTAATGTACTTTTTTCCTTCTTTCTAAATGTTTACATTGTGTTTTTTTTTTTTTTTTATGTAAGAAATGCACATGAAGTGAAGCAAACTGATGCATAACTACTTTTTAGGCTGAATTGAGTTTAAGACAAGATTTTTAAAGGGACACCATGTGATTTTTGACCCAACTTTTAGCCTAATTTGAAATATATATGGATTGATTATTTTTTCATGCAAATATGCAAAACTCTGGGACTATTGATGCTCATCGATGCTATCGATGTGCAGGCTACCCTTCACAAAAACTTGCCAACTTAAGAAAGACAGATCTGTCACTGAACGGTCCATTAGACTAGATCCACCATTTTACAGCTTTTGACTCTCTGATTTAAGATTCAGTTTAAAGGGATGAACGTAGCTTGGTCTTAAAACATTAACCTGATGACACAATCTGCTGGTCCAAAGTAGCCAGCAATACAGTGGGCGATATATATATACTCATATCACAAGTTTCCCCTATGCAGAATCGCAACCATCGAGTATAAATTAAGCAGTCTGCATCAATTAAAGTGAGAGTTTTATTTTTCCCCAAACACTTTGAATGCATCATAAACCTCTCCAAATGGGATTATTTTCCACCTGGCATGTACGCACACTACCACAACCGGTAAAAACTAAATATGGCAACAGCAGGTGTTTCAGCGGGGGACGTTGAACAAAAGGCGGTAAATTGTAAGATGTGCCATAAAAAGCATTACTGCAAAAGGTAGCGATACTACATATTTAATCCACCTCCGAAAAAGTCATCAATGCATAATCAAGAATGTTGTAAACTCCACATGTCAGTGTCTCCCTGCACACAAATAAATAAACCAAATATGACAGAAAAAGTAAGAGATGGGGTTAAATCACAGACTCTTTTTATTACGTTATTTAAATGTTTTTTAGATGCTCAAATACCTGTGATGTGATATGGTCTTGTTCAGAGGTTTTACAGGTGTTTTCTAAACTTTGCAATGTTCTCAATTTTACAAAGATCAAGATCAATGCAAGTAGTTTGGAGATGCTGCAATAATGCCCTAATTTTTGGACAGTATTTCAACTTTTATTTTTGTCATTAGAGGTCAATTTCATTTTTCATTCTACATTTTTTTTTAACTATGCACAAAAGAACCCTTTTTAATTAGCATTTTATTCAGTATTATGTGTTTTTGCTTTTTTCCCCCTGTGTTTGCTTGGATCTTGTTAAAGGTCTGCTACTGACACCGAAAGACATAATGTGGCACTATTATTAGTGAAAAGCTTTGAGCTGGATAAAATAAGAGGTTTTAAATTTGAAACCAAAATATTTGCATGTCAGTTTAATGGAGTATTAAACAGTATCAGTGCAATTTTATGAACTCTAATGTTTTTGAAGGTAATTTAAACATATCGTGATATATACCGGGTATCCCGATTTTAGCCCAAATATATCGTGATACTAGATTTTTCTAATTTCACCCAGCAGTACAAGGAGGAAGACATTCCTTTACTGCCACTGGCCTATGTCGTAGGGAAGCGCCCGTTCCAACCGTTGCATTTCCGAATTCTCCAGAGTGGGGCCCGACTTTACACGAGTGAATAAAGTGAATGCGATTTGTCAATTATCAAGGGGGTGGGGTTGTTGTGGCAGAAGGTTCGCAACCAAGTTTGATTGTAGCCGGTTTCTCTGAAGCATCTTGCTAACCAGTTAGCAACTTAGTGCTAGTAGGCTCCCTATGGGAAATTACATTAGGACCAAGTAGAACTAAATTGGTGACTTAGAAACGACACAGTCAAGGAACGCTATGGACAGCGGAAACATGCAAGAGGAGGAGAGTTTAGTGTCGGAGGTCGTGGATGAGTCTCCTCCGTCATAGTTTTATTTAGAGGAGGAAAGCGGGGACGAAGATGTTGTGGAAGAGGACGCCAGAAGCTTGGTTTGGTGTAGAAGGCTTACAGCCGTACATGTTTGAGCCCTTGCCTCGCAACGCTGCCAGTTCTGTTAACTCTAAGCCTGCCGAAGACACAGACGTCCATCCCCGTGAACACTGGGACGGAACTCAATGGTAAAGGAAATTATTCTTATTTCTTATTTCAACCGTTGCGTATATAAGATGCGACATATGAATCAAGATGCTATGACCGACAAAATTTGATTGACAGATGACCGTTGATTTATGATTGGCCGAATGTAGGTGTACAAGCTGAAGTATAACTAACACGAATTTAAGACAGGAATTTTTAAAAAATATAAATTTCCTAAATTCTGGGACAATATCGTCTGATAAAGAGTACATTTATATACCTGTTTAAGCCAGAATGATTTGACATTTAAATATGATTTCCCTATGACTTTAAAGATTTTTTTATTAAATGAAACCAAGTGAAACTAAAACTTTTCCACTTGAGGAGTTCTGGATTGAACATATTTACAGAAAAAAGCTTATATTATCTAATTTAAATATGATTTCCCTCCGACTTTAATGTAGATGTTACAAGTCTTGCGCCAACTAGTGGCTAAGTGCTGCTTTGAGCAACTTTCCAGACTTTTAACCCAATAATATCTTCATATTAAACAGCAAGTCTCTATTTGAAACTAAACTTTTGAACCACAATACTAACAGCAAATACACAAGTTCTATAAACCATATAGTATATTTTAATATATCGCAATATTAAACAACATCGAAATGAATGAAAAAACTTTTACAATGTAAGCCATAACTTGAAATCCTCTTTACTTAAAGAAAAAAAAACTTCAGTTAGTATTTTCTAGATGTAGTTTACGTGTTGCGGATGACAGCCGTACGTGCATGAACTATAGTAACCCCTCCGGCTGGACAGAAACAAACCTTTCAGCCGTGAGAGAAAAAACGCAACCCTGCTAATAAGATCTGTACCTGTGCAGCGATGCTAAGTGGAAAAGCGACAGCAAAGGATGGTCGGCGATTTTAGCCTGGAAGTAGCCACTGGCTTCCTTCCTGAGCGATAAAGAGAGCAGCGGTGATATTCGTGCTTTGTGGAAGTGATGAGCTGCACCGAAACAGACACGGAGGCGCAGCGCAGACCTACTGAGCTAGCCAAAATAACAACACACACAAACCCGTTCACAAAACTGTACACAGAAACCTCCAAATACGCCATTTCCCCCCTACAAATACACAAGTGTATGCTTAAACATTAAACCGTTTAAGAAGTAGACGAAGCTGTCGTCAGACAGTGTAATTGAAGCGCAGTTTTAAAGCGGCCGACAGGCAGAGGCTCTGTGCTTCTCTAGCTGCCGCGCTAAGTCAACGTTTAAGAACAGAAAAATAAAACCTACGTTTTCAAGACGAGGTTCAGAACAATGGTAAACGGATTCCGGGTGCCCTATTGGCACCCGGAATCATTTTAATTCGGCTCCACCCGAGATAACGGTCCTCCAGATGGGTGCGCTTCACAGCGAGAAGACGCGGCCGATCCGTTCATCTTTCCTGGCAGCCATTACTAGAATGCTGGCTGGGAGACGCACTGCGCATGCGCAGCACAGCCTGCCCACATTAATCTGTTGGGATGGGTCTCTGACATTACTGGGGGGTTGAATTGTTAAATTATTTTAGAAGTTGTTCATTGTTACTCCTAACAAAGATTGTGATATCGTGAGTGAAATAAAACAGGATTAAGTGAAACTTTTCAAGCTTGGATTTGGAATTAAATAAAAATATTAATTAATTACTGGACCTGCGTTGATGCCTCTAACTTGTACCCTGAATCACCTTTTCATCCTATGTCTTTTAAAGTAAAACAAAAAATGTAGGGATCAGAAAATTAAACTAAATATTCACATAAAATAAAAAATATATAAAAGGTTATTAAAGAGCTAAATATTTACTTTTAATTTTTTTTTGTATTCATTTCTTTTTAACAGTGTCCTGTCTGACAATGTGGCAATAAGAACAATTGTCTTGATGCCAAAAAGGGCCCAACAGATTTTACTTTCACAACTGGAGCAGTACCGCTATCGCCATAGTGTTCCACTTGATTTATGCATATAAATAGCTTTATTATAATTCATGCAGGGAGTATTACAGATTATATGGATACTAATGTAAGTAGAACAGGTAAGGGAAAATAAGAAAAAAAAGGAGAAAAGATGAAAGAAAGAGGAGGTAAAAGGGGAGATAATAATAAAACATCTTCAGTGTGCTTCATCACCGGTAAAGAGATGTAAAAAGAACAGCACAACCACCGGATGTAGTAGAGATATAATAAAGTAACACTTTGATACTATACTGAAGTATAAGTAGTATTATTTAATCTGACATGTACACTGTGGTAGCTGAAGATAAGAATATGGGCTTTCTGTATGGAAGTGAATCTCTAAGTACCTTGAGCCAAGCACCTGTAGTTGTTTGTGAGAGTGCACTTGAATGTAAACCATGTAAAATTTATCCAAAGGAAAAATGCTCAATAGTGGTTGTGAAGGGCCAAAGACGCGCCCCCCTAGAGCACCGAGGCGAGCGCCGGGGGACCCAAAGCCCCAGACGCCTAAAGGGACCCCAAGAACAAAGGCGCCCTGGAGGGGCCAACCCAGGAAGTTAGACCCCCACCAAGGGAGGAGGAGAGATGGCCCCGAGGAAACCCCCAGCCACCACAATGCCGGAGCCCCCAGGAGCCGTGTGCGGCAAGTCCACAGGCTACGCCGGCAGCCAGCCACCCCAAAGTGGATCCGGCCATGAGCCCCAGGGAAAGAAGGCACCAGGGGTGCCCCACACCCCTGGCGGAAGCCCCGGCCGGGCCCCAGAGGGCCAGGCCCTAAGGAGGTGCCACCAGGAATAATTGTCTTTGTAATCTAACACCTGATTCAGGTTTAATATAATGTAACCAGACAGAAGAAACATGCATACCGGTAGTTTAAGACTATATTTAAAAACAGGGTTGCCTTTTTTTATGTACATAAACCTCAACCTGACCAGGTTGCACAAGGGGCTTTGCATATGCAAGTAATATGATAATAATGAAGCTTGTTTACAAACAATAATCTTGGTGTATATTGTCTAAAATCTTTTGTTCTTTTTTTAGTAATGGTGATCATTCAAATATTGATCAAGTAGAAATAATGATTACGCTGCATTAAAGCTATGATCAAGCAGAAATAAAGATTACGGTGCATTAAAGCTATTCTTAGGGGTACATTTCCCCCAAAATGACTCAAGTACCTAGTGTAACAGACTACCAAACTTCTTACATAATCTCAGTGCTTTTCACTTGATGACTTCAATGTAATGGTAGAAAAAGTAATCCTTGGATGGGTCTATTCAAACCACTTTTGTCATTCAAATGTTTGCCTTTGATCATTGTCTGGTTGCATAACTGTGCTGCATTTGAGCTCATGATCTTATCAACTGTCATTTCTGTTCATTATTTTGAGCTATAAAAATCAATTCTTGGTTAAACAATACAACAGGTAATCCGTGTTCTAAAATTGAAAACATCTCACCAGGCTCGAGACCATGTGACCTAGCCTATTTAGTTGATTGTCTGTGTCTTTTGTCTGTTTGCTTTCTTTTACAATATGGTTTACACTAGGGGTATAAATAATAACCTTTTTTTTATCGATTCATGTTTTTTTTTTTTTTTTTCCTCCGTTCTATTTTTATCTATTTGCTCCTGGACGTATTTCTGACTCCCGTGCTGTGGTGGCGCTAAACCTATTTTGCCCTCATACCTCGCTTTTTTTAGCCACTACCCTCTTTCTGCTTGCAGTATTTTTTGATGCAAGGCCTTATTTTTTTTCAGCGAATGTGGTTTTCGTAGCCCTAGGTGGAGTACAACTTTGCTAATTTCTGTTATTTGCTGTTGTTTCTCAAATAAAATGCACAACGACATTACAGCTTGCGCTGATTTATTTATAATTTGAAACACTGTCTAGCCTGTAAGGTAAAAAAAAAATTTACAAATTAATTAACTAAATCGTATTGTGGTGTATTCTTGAGTATTAATAATACTTGAATCGTTGGGTCAGGAAATTGATACTGAATTGAATCGCCAGGATGGGTGTGATTTACACCCCTAGTTTACACTAGATTTAATAGAATAGAATAAAATAGAAAATCCCTTTATTGTCAATGGGGAAATGCTGGTGTTTACAGCATCAAAAATGTTATAGAAAAAATGGTCACACAAATGTGGACCTTAGAAAAACATATAAGAATAACATACTAGTGAGGAGTTAAAAGATAAACAATAAAATACTGTACTGTGAAGTGTTTATAATATATAAATCAGTGCACCTGGAGAATAAATAACCAATATACAGCTATGGACATTTTTACAGTAATGGGTATTTAAAAATAGGCTTAGGCTTCAGGAGGACATAGGGACCCCTATTTCATCATTCTACGTCATTCTATCTCTATTCTCCCACTCTGCAGAATCTGTTAGTTCGATCTCTAACGTTCTGCTCTCTCTTTTTTTTCTCATAGTAGCTTCATCTGGTCTGTTCCTGTTTGGCTGTGACTCCTTCCTGGAGAGAAATATCAGCTGTGCTGCTGCCATCAACACCTTTGTTTATAGATGTTTGAGATCTGCCTGTTTTTCAATTTAGTCCTGTTTCTCTGACTGTGACTGGCTGGATGTGCTCTCTTCGTCCTCTGGCTCGGAGCTCGTCTGCCTGGCTGTGTGTTTCCTGGACGGGGCCGCCTTTTACAGTTGTTTTTGTATCTCTGCTTCCGTCCCCTTTAACCCCAGTAGGCCTCGGCAGATGGCCGCTCACACTGAGCCTGGTTCTGCTGGAGGTTTTTTCCTGTTAAAAAGGAGTTTTTCCTCTCCACTGTCGCTACAAGCATGCTTAGTGTGAGGGATTGCATTCGAGTCAATGAGTTGATGCAATCGACTGGTTTTCCTTAGAACATTTTTAATTAATTTGACTGTATGATCTGGTGAACTGTAAACTGTCTTAACATGACATGTGTTGTGAATTGGCACTCTAGAAATAAAGTGAATTGAACTGTTAGCAGCAACATCAGAGATGTGCAAATAATAGGATGTTTGCCTTTTAGTCAAGTAAATGTTTCTACGTTCATTAGAAACAAGCGTTTTTAAACCGTACTGAGGATAACACCATTAGTTTAAAGCCAATTAATGTGTTAACGAGTGGTCACTATGGTGACAGTCTTCCTTTTACGTCATACTACGACACCGGAAATACTGGGGGACGCCGGGGAAGAGCACGATGCCCCTCTACCGATGAATGAAGCCGAACCACTAACTTCATTCATTTTCGTTTCTTTCCAAACTCTGGACTCATATTCAGATATTGCAGGTTAGCATGCTGCTAGCTTTAAAAGCAACCAGCTTATATAGTTCCGTTAGTTAATGTTTGCATGCTGTGTTTACATCGCTGCTAGTCACTGTTAGCCACCGCATGCTAAAAATAATCTAAGTGTCCTTACTCAGTGGGAGCAGTTTGGCCGTTTGTCTTTAAATATCCAGATTATTATATATGCTGTTGGGGTTTTTTGTGCTAATCTATAGATGTAGTTTTTTTTTTTTATCTGTCTCTGGCTCATTGAACCGCTCTCCTGTTTCACTATCCTTTTCTTTCCAAGGTGTGGATGTCAGTTAGTTGCTGCAGGGTTGAACAAAGGTCTGTGGCTGCGCTGCGGCATCGTGCCTGTATCTGAGGAGCCATGTCTGTGTCAGTGATCATCAAGTGGGGAGGACAGGAGTACTCCATCAGCTCTCTCTCTGAGGAGGACACTGTGTTGGACCTGAAGCAGTCCATCAAGAGCTTAACTGGAGTGTTGCCAGAGAGACAGAAACTATTAGGATTGAAGATCAAAGGTGAGATCATGGCATCATTATAACCTGTTCTTCCATTGCTGAGTTCTAAGTCTCATCCTGTTTTCTCTGCTTTCAGGTAAACCTGCAGAGGATGAAGTCAAGCTGGGTTCTTTAAAGCTAAAGCCTAACACTAAAATTATGATGATGGGTACCAGAGAAGAAAGCCTGGTAAGTGGAAGGGTGATCAAACAGCAATGGCATGCATTACGATTAGATTAGATTAAGATTAGATTCAACTTTATTGTCATTACACAGGTACAGGTACAAGGCAACGAAATGCAGTTTAGGTCTTACCAGAAGTGCAATAGCAGCAAATGCGGGATAAATAATGGTTCCATAAATACAAGGCATGGGTTTTGTTGAAAACACCATCATGGTTTTCCCCCCGGGTTCGTTAATTCGAGTGCAGGTAACTTAACTGAGATGGAGTGCTATAAAAAAATTCTGGACATGGAAGCTTCTATTCGCCTTTGCAAAGGGAGAGGAGCATCAGCGGCATGCACCTGCAACACCGGCTCTTTTTATTATCTTCATAGGGTAACATCTTACAGTTTCACACAGACAGTCCCACATAATCATCATACTCCCTACTTTACTATCTCCATGTATGGAGTTGCTTCCTGCCTTTCTTCTTCTACCTTGTTAATCAGCTTTTTCTGCGTGTGTGTGCGAGCAAGGTCATTCTACCCTCTTATCTACAGATTTCATCCTCCCCTCTGCGAGCTTTGGCCTAACACCTGGGAATAGTAAATTTGCTGCCCATCCTTAGATTATAAATGGCATATACTTCTTCAATATGAACAATAAGGCTTGCTGCAGCTTTAACTTAGCTCTTTACTTCTTTTAGCTTAAAGGAATAGTACACCCAAAACATGATTAGCCTTCATTTTCTACTCACCCCCATGCTGAACAACACTCTGGAGTACTTTTTTGATATCTCAAATGCATCTGGAGATCTGGGAGGCTTCTTGCTGTCTGCTGACATTCAAATAATGGAGGTCTATGGTGACCGAGACAGAAAGGTCCATAAAAGTCCACAAAAAACGTGTCAGTATTCCTCCATACTGCTTGTCCAATGTATTCCAAGTGTCCTGAGTGGGTAGCATCCAGAATTTACTTGAAACGAAGTCATTTAGAATGTTTTTAGAGCATAAACAGTAGTGTATAGGATTTCCTGAAAGCGCGCACATGCGCGCTCACAACGCTACGGAAGCCGGCAGACCAAACCAGCGCATTCAGCTTGGCAAAGAACTCATGCTCTTCCTCAACACTGAAGTCCTCAGACATTTTTCTTTCGTTGTTTCTTTCTTTGCACAGGTAAACAGCACATTTCTTCTTCTACGCTTGTATTATTGGCAGAGCAGACGCTGAATGCGCACTTTCATCTGGTTGGTCTGCCGGCTTCCGTAGCGTCGTGAACGCGCATGTGCACGCTTTCAGGAAATCCTATACACTACTGTTTATGCTCTAAAAACATTCTAAATGACTTCGTTTCGAGTAAATTCTGGATGCTACCCACTCAGGACACTTGGAATACATTGGACGAGCAGTATGGAGGAATATTGACACGTTTTTTGTGGACTTTTATGGACCTTTCTGTCTCGGGCACCATAGACCTCCATTATTTGAATGTCAGCAGACAGCAAGAAGCCTCCCAGATCTCCAGATGCATTTGAGATATCAAAAAAGTACTCCAGAGTGTTGTTCAGCATGGGGGTGAGTAGAAAATGAAGGCTAATCATGTTTTGGGTGTACTATTCCTTTAAACATGTATATATATATCTTCAGTTTCTAGATCAATACCATTGTGAACAGAATTTTAAAAATAGATTTGTCCTATGAATATAATATATAGCAAACTAGTGTTATGAACTAAATTTATAGCTGGATATGTACCAAATATAATATACGGTTAGATATTACTATAAATAGGGTTTTTACAGATATGTACAATAGCATAATATACAGATGATTGTTATTTTAACAGAGTTTGCAGGTGAATATGCACTATGAATATTGTAAAGATGGCTATTACTATATTACATACAGTAACTGTCCACCTAGTCAAGTAGTATGGTAGTGGCAGCTCCACATGTGGGATCTAGATGGCTTAAGTACACTGTGCAATTTTTTTTTTTTTTTTATACAATCGTTGCACACAGCTACTTCTCACACTGTACAACTAAACTGGAATAAATCTAGATAAGTCATTATTTCTTAAAATAAGAGCATTTGTTCTTGAATTAAGAAGCTAAAAGAGAATTTTGCCAATGGATCAAGACAATGTAGATTTAAAATAAGAAAACACAATTTCATTGCAAGTGCAAGTTATCTAATTATCTTATTTTAAGAGTAAAAATACTCAATCCATTGGCAAGCTACCTCATGTACCTACTCAAATTAAGGGTAAATACACTTAATTTAAGAAATTTTAACTTATTTCTATATCGTTTTTCCAGTGTAAACTGCAGGGTTTAGTCGTACTGGAAAAAATCGAAATCTAGACAAGTCATTTTTTCTTAAAATAAGTGCATTTGTTCTTGGATTGAGGAGGTAAAAGAGACGTTTTGCCAATGGAACAAGACAATTTAGGCTTAAAATAAGAAAACACAATTGCATTGTCTTATTTCAAGTGCATATTATCTAGTTATCTTATTTAAGAGTAAAAAATACTCATTCCATCTTATTTACCTACTGAAATTAAGGGTAAATACACTTAATCTAAGAATTCTTTACTTATTTCTAGGTCGTTTTTCCAGTGTGAGTTCAGAGCTGACAATGTATGTGCAGCACGACGCTCTCATGCGATCTACCTGCTCACACTGTACGATTAAAAAGCACGTCGGACTCAGCTCTGCAGTGAGATGAAGCTGCTCTGACTCATCTATCCGGAAGCCAAACAAATAGAAGGGGAATATTAACGTCACTAGAATTTGTGAATTTGAATTTGTAGAAATTTGTCCAATTTTGTGCTGAAAGCCCTAAAAAGAAAAGGCGATGATGTATTTGGACAAAGACATGGCTGAGCAAACGTGGCTACTACGGTCTGTCAATTTTACAGACAGAACTCTATTTCACACATTGCATCCCCGCCATGCTGTGTTTTCATCTGAGAGGAAGAAGAAGATTCCTTGTTTGCGCACTGAGCGATTTGCCCAGGACGGTCGGGAGAAAATCAAACATGTTTGACTAGGCGGTCGTAAGAGGCTGATCGCCCCTCGTTACCCCCTGTACACTGCACAACGCACGCTCAAGCTCAAAGTCGGCCCTATGGAAAGATTCTCACACGACTGGAAAATTGCACAGTGTACGCTAGGGGTGGGTATTGGCAAAGAAGTCATGATTCGATTCGAATCACGATTCACATGCCACGATGCGATTCTATCACGATGCATCACGATACTTGAAATATTGCGATGCATCGCGATATTTTCACCGAACACTGTAAGAAAAAGATACAGCCCTTACCAGTGGCTGACTGGCTGGGTATGATCTGGATCGTGTCTACAACTGATACATAACTGAAAGCAACTGAATTCATACATAGCTGTATTTATTTAAACGACTTTTGGAGGTTTTGCCATGAAAAGAAATACAGGACAGAAATATTACTATTACTGGCATGGACACACTGACAAAAAGATCTTAGGATTCATCAAACTTAAAATAACAAAATAAGGATAATCAGTGCCGTTTATATGGCCTCAGTGGTCCTTTAAACCAATGAAACCAAAACATTCAAATGTATATTTCCCCTTTTGCAAATTACGTGCGTCATATCAATTTCGTTTTTACCTTCTTTGTTTTTAAAGCCAAAATGCATCCAAGCATCTGACTTGAAATGTGATGGAGCCGCGGGGCGAATTTTCGTAGTGTCCTCCATGTTTTATTTCATATGACTCGTCTCAGTATCCCACGGCCGGAAATGCTAGTGACACAAGGTAGCGGGCATCAACACATCCGCTGCGACATCTGCTGGACTGGAAGTTGTTTTCCACTTGGTTTGGCTGATGTGCGCCAACCATTCATGTATTTTATTTGTTCATTTTGTTTTCTTTTAATAATCGATTCTTGCCTTCAAGAATCGATGCAGTAGATCACAAAACTTAGAATCACGATGCATCGTCATGACGATTAGTTTGCACACCCTTAGTGTACGCCCAGCTTTTATTGAAATTGGTGCACCACACTATATGGCTTGAATAATGAAGATCTTGACCTTAATCATGTTGATACCAGGCCTAATGGCTTAAGCTGGCTACCAAAAAGCTTCTGGTACTACATCCACTTCAGTGGTATTAAAGATATATAAAATATTATAAAAATCAGAACACCTGATTTAAAATAAACTCCATTATTTTGTTCTCAAAAATAGTGATCAGTTATACAATCTGAATTATACAGGAAGCTTGATAATGGATGAAAGTTTATGTGTTTCCTCTGCAGACTGTTGAGGGACATTTAGTAGAAGCGCATCAATATTTGACAGCATTTTATGACCCTGTTTGGAATTTAGAAAATCCATTATTAATTTAAAATCTTCACTCACATATTAAAATAGTTCATTTAAGTTTTCTGCATATCATAGTAAGGGATGGAGGAAATATTCTTTTATCACTAAAAGGAGCTGTATTATTTTAAAAGTTGCTTAAAGGGGCACGATTATTTATTTTTTGGTTCCTATCATTTATGTTGGTAGATTTCTTATCACTGGCTTGTATAGCAATTATTAACACATATATATTTGTTTATTTTAAAGGAAGATGTTTTAGCTCCTCCCCCAGACAACGACGATGTTGTAAATGATTTTGACATTGAGGACGAGGTCATAGAGGTGGAGAACAGGTGAGAAAATAAATGGCCTCCAGCCTAGATGGTTTATGAGATTCAATAAGATGTTAAAAAAAGAGATATTTATTAATTACTGTTTATTTTTCGGGTTTTTAGAGAGGAGAATCTTGCTAAAATAGCTCGCAGAGTCAAAGACTATAAAGTGGAAGAACTGAACCCTCCCAGAGAAGGCAAGAAGCTCCTGGTGTTGGATGTGGATTACACTCTGTTTGGTGAGTTATAGATATATAGTATTATTAACAGTTAAATAAAGATTTCGTTTCATAGCATCTGATTTTTTTTTTTTTTTTTTAACACTTAGCAAATCAGAAATCATTGAAAAACCAGCAGCTTATTTTTGGGTTCTTATGTGTGTTTAGATCACAAGTCGTGTGCAGAAACGGGTCACGAGCTGATGAGACCATACCTGCACGAGTTTCTCACGTCTGCCTATGAGGACTACGACATTGTCATCTGGTGTATGTACCCCCCCATTCTTCTATTGTTTATGTATTTAGGGGTTTGAGGAATTAGTTTTAAGTTTCTTAGATGAAATACTGAAAATGTAATGACACAAAATTCAGTTTTTGGTTGATTTTTAAGGATGAGCCTAAATCAAACTGGTTTTCAGCAGCAGCAGGACAGTCAGTGTATTAGAATAACATCCTAGAGTGCAAAATAAGTATTAAAAGTATGTTTGAGATGTGCTTTTATTGGTCAAAGGTGTGTTGTATGGGAAATTAAACCCCTACTGAAAAACTGTTGTGAGAATTTTAAACTTAGGTTTAATCCAGCAAGTCTTCCAAGTTAAATCATTGGCAGTGTTTGTCAATGAAGTAGAATTTTACTTTGTTTTAGTAATTTTATGCAAACAGTAAAGCACCTATGAAAATGATCGCAAACAGTGTTATATCTAGGGCTGGAACAATTAATCATGATTAAGCGATTATTGAAATAATCAGCAACTAATTTAATAATCGTAGAGAGTGTGAAACATGCTTTTAGCTGACAGAGCAACCCTCTTAGAGCAGCAACTGTATCAAAATTCAAAAAAAAAACGTAAATATTTTGAATTTAAGGTAAAAAAAACAAACATTTGTCTGTTGATATGCTTTACCCAGAACTCCTCAAGTGGAAAAGTTATCGTCTCACCTGGTTTGATTCTGTAAAAAATCTTCTTTAAGGAACCATTTGCTGTCTGATTATTAATCGGTTAAAAGTAATCGACAGATTAATCAATTAACAAATATCAGTTAGTACCAGCCCTAGTTATATGTGAGGTGTGATGCTTACAGCAAATCAAAACTTGGAAAACCTAATATTACATGAGAGCAATAACTTTTTATTTTTTAAACAGGAAGGTCATTTAACTGAACGGTATTCCCATGTACTATACAGAATATGTTTTCAATACACTGAACAGAGCTCCTTTTGCAACGCTGCAGTTTTCTCCAGATGGTATCAGCCTGTAACTCTGAGCAAATAAATGCGATAACCCAAAAATTCAGTAGTTGTAGACGGAGATCATCAAAATGAACTTAAACTGATAAATTAAAACTTGAATTATGTGATTCTGATTGTACGGAAGAGGATTAGGGCCCCTTGGGGAAAAAAAGTTAACTGATTTTTAAATTTTATTTCAGTTTATTTTGGGGGAAAAAAAATCAGAATTCTGATTT